AACTACGCCACCCATAGTGGAATAAGAGACCCATGGCTACCGAATCCAAGAGTGTAGCACCATTGTGCATTGTATCCTGCTCCTCCTGTGGTAGCATTGTAGACCAGAAGTGGAGCCAGTAAGAAGACATGAAGATAACCTGCATAGGGTTAGATAATTGTTTACCCATTAAAAGCTTTATCATTGCGACAACGCCAATTTGACCAACATACAATGTTAGCTCCAATTAGAATCATCTTCTTAATGGACCTAGATACCCCTCTAAGCCAATTACCGAAAATGTTTTTGGCGTTACGGAGTGGGGGGATATTAAAAGCAAAAAACACACATCTTCAAACAAACTGAGCGACATGACACTCAAAGAAAAGATGTTGGATTGTCTCTTGTGCATAGCAGAAAGAACAATGTTTGTCTCCGCCCCATTTTCTTTTAGCCAGGTTATCTTTCGTTAGAATTACTTTCTTGTGAAGAAAGCACATAAAAACCTTGATCTTTAGTGGAATTTTCAAGTCCCACAGAATTCTCTTTTTGATCTGAACATTACAGTTCATGATCGTGGCATACATAGATTTGACGGAAAGGAAGTAGGTTAATTGTATGACTGAAAAACAAATGAATTTAAATATGAGCAGTTGTTTACCTGATCATTACTGTTTGGATGTTCATAAGCTCTTTTGACTGACAAAGTGTTTGTCTCTAAATTATATGGCTCAAATTCTATGCTCTGAATAACTTAGGGTGGTCTATCTGGGAAGATGAGCAGTAAATAAGAAATTAGAAAAGAAAGGAATAGTAAATATTATGTAGCATTAACGAAAATGAATAAAAGAAAGAGTAGTACTCTTTTACCTCTTTTACCTCATGTTGTATTTTCTTGGATAGTATAGGCACCAGTGGATGTAAATTATGTAGTTGTGGAATTGAACTTGAACTGATGGGAAGATTCTTAGTTGCCTTAAAGCCTTCACTGGAATGTTGCCTTCCAAATCTTTCTTTAATTGTCAGCATCTCAAATGAAGGTTCATCAGCATTGATAGTTATGTTCGGCAAAACCTTCACTATGAATGTGAATTTATGTCCTTTCGATGCTTTTATTTCTGGAGGTGTTTGATTGATATCATATTGCCTTTTCATACTTTCAGCAGTCCTACCAATAAGCTCTGTACCTTTCTTTTCAAATAGCACAAGTTCAAGGCTAGCTGTGCCATCATTTCGAATGAAATGGTATTTTGTACCTGTTCAAGTGCTGAGTTATTTGCAAAATATAGTTACATATAACCACACTTAATACTATGATTGAAAAAAAAATGTTCACTTGTACTCATACTGCCTGCATGGGCAGTTCTCTTTCTTGTATTTTAATATAGAACCATCCCATATCATCTTGCAATTGCACAATTTACAGGCTTGATAACTCCAAGTTTTCTTTCCTGAATTCCAATTATAGTAGCAGTGCACTGGTATTTTTTATCCTATGTAAATGTATACATGAAAGGTATCAGTTCTAGTTCAATGAAAGAATTTAATACCATATTAATTTAGCTACATAAGTCTAACCATGTTAACAAAAGGATCAATTTCCTTCAATTCTGCAAGTGTTTTGTGTTCAATGCTCCGTTGCATATCTTCATCGCTTTGAATGTATAGCTTTTGTATTGGCCCAACATGTGGTGGAAGGCTACATATATAAGATGTTAGAAATAGAAGATTCCATAAAGTAAAAGAAGATATGCAGGGAATTAAATTGTACTTACCATTTCTAAAACATCTTGATTTTAGGGATGTCATTTTCGTTGATATACCAATGACAAGCTGTTGTTCCACTTAGAAATTCATATATTCCCTTAAGGATTTTCATTAATACTAGCATATAAAGTCGTGCATTCGCGCGACTCTAACCATCATGTCCATAGTTATATATGAAAATATTTAAATTATATTAGGTGCATGAACAATTTATTACTAATATAGTCATGATAACCGTTCTTTATTTTTTTTTTCATTTGCTTGAATTTATTGTTTAATGTTTCAGAGAACAAGATTAGCAGGAAGAATCTAGTTAAAACACTAGCAGATGCCAAATTTATTTTGGCATGTAATAAACAGTTTATTGTAAACTTTACATTTGTGTTTTAAACTACATTTACAATATCTTATTATTATTTGCACCATCTACCATCTCCAGTGCTGCATGCTCCTTTATCCTCTCTTGCACCTGTTTTTGGAAGGATATGTTTACTAATTATTTTATTTTAAATTAAATCAATTAGCTATGTGTATTTATTATGAGATCATCCTTAATATTTAGCTCTTTTTCCATGCACATTATTTTACAAGTATTTTAATCTATTTGATTTACTCTGCCGAATTGTATTTTAAGCTTAGGGACTTAATCAGATAGTACAGTACAATAATTTACTGTTTTACTAGCCATTTCTTAGATTATGCAAAATTTATGGGTTTTTTCAAATGTTTCTGAATTGGGCTAAGCCTTTCTCGATTCACCATAGTGTTTTATTTGCCATGTGGGTTTCTTTGTGCGTCTTTTGTTTCCTCTATTTGGTCAAATGGATCTATTTCCTTTAACATCATACTCCGAGGGCTCTCGTTTCTACTCCTTATCTCACCATATTTTCAGTTTGACGGTCTATATTTGTTTCTTACGTGGCTTATTTTGGTTTCATCTTGGGAAAAAAAATAACCGTAGTACCATAAATCCTCATATCGTTTTATTGGCTTGATTAGGAGTTAGTTAAAAGTAATATGAAATAATACAGGAAATCAGTGGTATTTAACTATTTACGCTTAATTATTTATCTTTGACATGAACAGTGAAACTTTCCTCCTGTTTCTAAGCAAGAAATTATTGTACAGTAGTGACTTTTTGACGGACGAGTCAATTAACGTGGAATCTTCGAGGAGCTGGCTTGTAGTGCAGCTGGTAGGATAAGTCTCCTCTGACGTAAAGTCATAGGGACATTGTCACTAACATGTGAGACCCACAAAGGTTAGGCCCACACATCAGTGACCCACGTCCCTCTGACTTTACGTTAGAGGAGCGCGATCTGCAGCTGGTAGAGCATGAAGGATAGGAGGAGTGTGCTAGTGTCAGAATAACTAGGTGAAACCCCGCTCATTGCTACGGGAATTTAGTATGATAACAATAAAAAAATAATGTGTAAGATAGCTAGATAATATTAGATTAAGTAAATTAATGTGGTTTATGATTATTTAAATTTAAATAGTATGTAGAATGGTGATTAAAACGTAAAAAGTAAGGTGGTATGACTTTATGGAAGAAGAAAAGTAGAGAGATAGTTTGGACTATAGATTAATCATCTAAAGTCTAAAAATAATTGATGTGATATGACTTAATTAAAGGAAAAAAGGAGAAAGATAATTTGGACCACAGATTAATCATTTAAACACTAAGTGAGGATGAACTATATAAGTATATAGGATATCATAAAACATAATAAAGATATACGTTGAAACATTAGGTGAATTATGCTGGATGATAATTTAGCATGTTTGTATTTGTAAAGCTCTTAAATTATAAGAACTATAAAGATATAGCATGTTTGCATGATGTTTAAATGTGATGATTGTGAGTGGATGATGATGTGGCATCTTGTTAATTAGTGGATGATGATGTAGCATCTTGTTAGTGGATGATGATGTGGCGTCTTTGCATGTTAAGCTTAAGGAGTTAGTGGGGGATAACTTTATAGTAAGATAGGATTAGAGCTCCCACTACCTATCCTTATCCTATTCTTTATTGCATCCTCTACATCTATCTATCTATTCTTTCTCACTCGTCAGCTCTCATCCTCCCTCACAACCACTGCTCTTACAACCACTGCTCTTCTGACGGATGCCATTTTTGCTACCGCTTCAACTTAACCATGAGGCATGAGAAACAACCCCTCTAGCTCGATCTCACTATCTCAACGGCGGCAGCATGTGTCCACGATCTCTCCTTCTATCACCATTCACCAACAACAGCCTGAGGCCCGGCCCATGGGGGGAGGAAGATCATAGCGAAAGATTGGACGGGAACGCAGCCTAGAGGCAGCAGATTGGATGGGGGCAGCGGCTTGATCGGAGGCAGCGTATGGGATGGCACCTCAGCTCGGAGGTGAGCAGAGTACTGAGTATACCTTCAACTGGCCGACATCGACTCATCTTCCCCATCCATGGTGCATCGCGCCACAGCCACCGACTATTCGTATGTCTTCCACAGGGTGCCATGGCCAACACGAAGGCAATGAGCTTCTCTGCAGCGTGCCTTGAGGTGGTCGATTTTTTTCCATTTCTTTTTGTTCCTTTTTCCCGAAGACCAGGACTCCAGGAGAGACTGAGATGTATGCCCTGTGCCATATGGCCTGTGTGAGCATAGTGCTTTGAGAGCTTTCCATTCCCTCTGTTTAATTGGACATTTGGAGGGGTCTAGATTTTTAACATGTACGTATGATCCAAGGGTTCTCGTTTTATCTCTTCCTGATCTGACGGCCCATCTTTTGTTGCTTACGTGGCTTATTCTAGTTCCATTTTGAGTTTCATTTTTCACTAGTAGAGATACCAACAAATAAGTCTACGTACCTTCTTTTCAATTTATGAAGAATATTAGAAATAATTGCTAATAGCTGTACCTTAAAGATGATACTATAATATAAACCTAATAGGTTAGAAAATTATTAAAGCAATTAATACCGACAAGAATAATTTATGAAAAATCATGGCAGATTTCTCTGGTTAATATTTCAAGTATCTCAAACTTAATTAGCGTATGACATATGCCTATGCAAATGTGCGTGCAAACCTTTCTAGTTTAATAAAAAAGACTAAACGCGTAGCTAACGTGCGTAACTCACCGATCTTTCATTATACAAAACTAGGTAGCTAAATATCCATGCATGTTTTGCGACAGACGTAAACAACATAATCATACCCATATAAGTATAAAATGAGATAATTATATCATGTATGTTGCTCACGATAAAAATTATATACCTTATCACACGCCATCAGAATTCACCGAGATCATTGTTGTCTGTTAAATATAGAACAGACGACACAGATTTTTCATTTATAGGCTCAAAGATTGCATGTTAATTTGTTTTCAAATGGTGGCCAGTCCATTTTAAGGGCATGGTAGATGATTGCAAGAGTGAGATAGACGGTGATAAGGGGAACGAGGGTCCGTCGAAGGATCAAAATCTGCAGAAGAAATAATATGTGTTTAGCCAATTCAGAAAATAATAATGCTGGATCATAAATCATGCAGAAAATTCAGCTCAAAGGCCACACAGTTTAGTCAATTTTTGCACAACATGTCATATTTATACTCATTGAGACTTTCTTGGGTGCTTGGAGCTCATTAGGATCATTGATCACACTTAATCTAACGCGCAAAAAATGAAAGGCACCTGTGAAAAAGTATGAAAAAAGTGGGCCACATAAAAAAGTGAAAGGTTAAAATGATAATTAGCTCCCATGGTTAATTAGTGCGGTTAAGGAAAAAAGCTTACCACCCTCATATGATCCTGTCCAGCCTGCAATGTGAAGTCCCGATAGGGTGTGTCTGTGTAGGAGATATTCCTATGTTAATACGGTGGCTAATTAAATGCTTAGTGAATAAAAAAATATACACTGTTCAATTTTCCTCTCAAAAATATAAGAGAGGGGGAAAATCATTCTTCACCGGCCAGAAATCATGGGAAATGGCAGCCCACTTCTACTTTGCTCCTCAGCATCGGATCTGATCTTCGAACCAGCAAGCACCCATGACCTACAAACTGCCTGTGTGTTCAATACCCGTTCACAGGTGAGGGAGTTGAGGCCTTGAGGGTGCCTCCCCGCCGGTCGGCTGACCGCTCTGCGCCCGCCAGTCACAGCCGAGGGATGGTGATTGAGGAATTACTAAATAACCCATGCTAATATTAGTTCCTATTCCTAATTTACCTTTTAGAAATCAATGATGGGTACTAGATGGTTTAAGAGGTACCTGTGGTACCTCACAAGCAACGTAAAAGATCTCATAATCATTATGAATATACTTCGTGAGGGTGTGGGGGTAGGGAGGGGGGAATACAACAAAACAAGCTATGACATAATTGAGTCAGTTTATATTTTGTAACAAACGATTGGCTTTGCAAATGAATTGGTTTAAAAATATGTGTGGATGCTGTTTTGAGCGCATGCGACTACGTCGGTTATGTTACGATAACTGGGCCCAAAAACAGTTTGTTGGATCTATTTCTGTGCTGATGACTTCAATGTAAAATTAAGTGATTCAACTATTTTAGAGTTAATATGCATATGCTTCCTTCACAGAGCACTAATTTTTCAGGATATTTTTTATAGAAAACATAGATGCATCAACAAAATTCTCAATTACAGATATATCAATATCATTTTTGTATATCCAATTGTATTATTCCTACAATAGATTAGTATTTTTCAGATTTCAAGGTTTTATTACAAGTATTAGAAAGATTACATGTAACTATTTTGATAGAGATGTAGTATATATACATATTGTTTCCATATCTGCTTGCGGCTCCATATCCACTGCGATCGTCCTCACCCCCACCTTGCCCGCTACCACCACCTCTGTCTGCCGCCTCCCCATAACTGTTCCCATATGTGCTTTCGTATCCACTTGGACCCCCCCAACCCTCACCTAGCCCGGCACCATCACGTCTACCTGCCCCCTGCTCATAACTGTTTCCATATCTGCTTTCATATCCACTTCCGTTTGTCCAACCACCACCTTGCTCGCCACCACCACCTCTGCCTGCACCCTCCCCATCGTTGAGAATACCATAGGCAGAGTCATCAAGAGCACTGTGAACAGTGCCTGGTCGGGCAGCCACAAAGGCAGCTCCATCTCCGCCATGGCTTGCAACCGCCATAGTTAGTTGGACCACCAGCAGCAGGACCGGGAGAGGTAAACCAGCCTTCATACTGGTGTTATATGTACCTCACAGGCCTTACAGCAAGAGAACGCTACTCTTCATATAAACATTGTACGAATACCTCATTTTATAGATGTGTGTTATCCTGTTGGTCAAAAACCGTCTAGCTAGTTATAGTTATAGTAACATATAATTACAGTTAATTTGTATACTTTCTGCCGGATCTGCTGGTCTGGTGTTGTCCATGTTCTTCAACAACTTTATTTCTGTCTGGTTGCCTCTAAAGTCAGTGTGTACACTTGTGCTGGACTGCTGGTGCACCTAACCGCGTAATGTTTGGCAGAAAGAAAATAAAGTGTGAATTCCTCCCTGGTGAAACGAAATCTCTCAGGCTGATCATCAAACTAGTCAATATTAGTACTCTCCCGTGAGTGGTGGGTACTGATTAATTAGTCAGACATTCTTTGCTTTTTGAAACGAAGTTGCCAAAGTAACCGGCCGATGCATCTTTTTGTTCCTACTAATTATCCTTTTTTCATCATCTGTCCGCTTTCTCTTCGTTTCTCTAGTAATCTTGACTACATGTATTGAATTGGAGCTCCTTTTCATTTCCACACCTATAATACTAACATCCAAACTGAACTGAAGGTGTGTTCAACCCTGTTATTTACTTATGAATCATTATAAAGACTATTAAAAAATTTCGGCCTATCTTATGCTCACCTTTCATGCAATCTCGCTAATAAAAATATAGAGCCATGGTCACATCATTATATGATGCTCTGGCTAGATAGTTAATCCCTCCCTCCCTTATATTGTATTTAAGATATCCTGTTACTATGAAAAGATTTACTCCGGTCCAACAAAAAATACCTCGAGATACCGGTGAACAGCATACCACGCACAGTGATCTATTTCCCAAATAAAAAGCTACGGAATGCAAACCTAAGTGCTATAGATCGATGATTCAGATCAAAGGAACTGGGGAAAATAAAATTTAGAACGGCCGTTCTTACATTGACCAATATTGAAATGTTTTTCTGTACTTTGTTTGTAACTGATGCCATAATTATCAAAGGTAATTGTAAATAGGGAAGTGTATGTTTGTTTTGAAGAAAAAAACTGTCTTTACACTATCATGACATAATCATTATGGTCGGGAACAGAACTATGGACACAGGTGTGCTGGAGTCCGGCCTCTAATACATTCTTTTGGTAGATGGCAACCCGTCTCTAGTAGCCCAACCATGTTATGTTTGCCTGTAGCCTTGAAGCTGTACATAATGGTAAGTGTTGTATCCACAGCACCTTATGAAAGTCCTGCAAACACTCCCTCCTTTTCAAATTTGCTTTGTCGTATGTCAAACATTCCCGTTAATTAACAACATATGAGTTATATATTATCAATGTATTTTTTATGTAGCCGGTGCGAATGTTTGGGTTGCAGACTAGCTGGTTCATCGCCTGTCATACTCTATATGTGTAGCAACACTGCTGAACCTCAAACAGTATGCTCGCACAATATGTCGCTAGCTAGCTAGCACATCATACACAACAACAGAGGTAGGTCATTGCATGAATAGAATTGAGGGGTATCAAGAATGTAGCTACAGCAAGGTCACTTGTCTTTTGGAAAGTCACCCCCTGCCTCATTTAGATGGGCTTCAATCCGAGAACGATCATCAGCGTGGAGCGTTTTCAGGTGGGGGGCCCTAATTCGCGATGCTCCCCAGGCGCGTGATCAGTAGTAGTACTAGTACTAGTCTAGTACTATTAGTACTAGTACTATACTACTATTATTTACACTATTGTTGACTATAAATATATATATATTTTTGATGTATAAAAAAATATACACATATATAAACTTTGTATATGATGTGTACAAACTTTATATACGACGTGTACAAACTTATGTGTACAAACTTTGTATAGCATATATACAAACTTTATATACATACGTATTAAAAAAATAAAATAAAAACTAGAAAATACATCACATATACAAATTTTGCATATGCGTATACAACTTTGCATATGTACTAATACAAACTTTACATATGTACGAATACAAACTTTATATTCATACATCTTTAAAAATAAACGGAAAAAAACCACATAAGAGAAAAAAAAAGAAAAAACAAACCAAAAAGAAACGAGAAAAACTGAGAAAAAAAGGAAAAAAAAGAAAAAAACAACCGAACATAAACGATAAAAAAGAGAAAAAAAGGGAAAACTCGCTACTCCCTCCTCTCGCGCGGCGCGTCCGCCGCCCCTCTTCACGCGACACGTGTCCAGTGTCGCCGGATAGCTTTTTAGTTTTCAGGTGGACACAGACGCAGCTCGCGTCGGGCTTGTCGGCAGGAGCTATCTCTCGCACTGTGTCCGGAGTGGAGGCAGTTGAAGCAGCGGACAGGGGTCACGACAGCGTGTGGCGCGATGGTCTCTCGCAACGCAAATGAAGCACTTGCCCGCAAATCAAAGTTAAACATTAATTTGATCCATACTAGTGCTGAAATCCTGAAATTGAAGACTAGAATTTCACATCTGGCCCGTCCGATCTGTTCATGAACAAGAAAAATCCAGTAATACCTAATCCGTAAATCCAAAAAGAGTGTTGTCTTCGATTACAAATCTGTTCTGCAATGAATATCTTTTTAGGTGGGCTACACTAGATCTCTTTAATACGGCGTAATTAATTTCCTTTTTCTTTTAACTACTGAACCAATCGTACTGCCTTTTCCTCCTCGTTTTCTCCTTCTCATTTTCTATCCACAGTACTGCTTAATCACATGATTTATCAACTGCCTCTGAAGTCTCCTCGAGTGGATGTCTTTAGCTTAGGCCAGTCCCAACCCAAAACACTAGATATAATTTAAATAAACTTCACATCATTAAAAAAATTAGTACTAGACACTACTCTTTTAATACAAACACCACTGTTTCATACTTAAATTAAATTTAATGTTACAAACTCCATTTGTTGTTTGTAGTTGATGGTGTAGATTAATGTTGTAGGTTAAACATATCACAGCTACACCATGTGTACATCATTTGTCCCCATTCCCCTCTTATGGTCCTACATACACATTGACTATTTCTGCATATAAATTTATCGTTTTATTACTGGCCGTGTTACCTGATCTCTGCTTTTTTTCTCTCCATACCCAACCTCAAATTAACATGAATGATATAGACATATACAACCAGAAACCTATCAACATTGTGATGGGAATGGGTGGCACGGAGAATACTACTTGTCGGCAACATCTCAAGTTACTATCCGTGATCTAAAGTAACAAAATTTACATGGCCAACGACCGTCAAGCCACTCTAGGAAGTAGCCTCTGCCTTGCACTAACAGATTCATCGTGGCGTCGTAAGTCGTAACGGCTGCGTTTCACCGTGGCCAGTGGCAAAATGGATATTTCTCCGCAGCGAAGACAGCGAAATTTATGTTGTCTAGGTTTTCACTTCCGATTTCGCTCAAAACTTCGGCCAGCTTTGGGATTTTCGGCACTTTTTGAACAAAAATAGTTTGAAATTTTAGCACCGTATAACTGAATTTAAATAAATTTTGACTAAATTCATAAAAAATTGAGAAAAAAAACGAAAATTTCGGACAAGATAATGACTTGCCGGGGGTCCGAAATTTCCAAAATTTCAAACTGAAATTGCATTCCCTGATGTTTGCCACCATATCCGTGGACCGACAAAATAGTGCCGTCAACTATGGAGGGAATGATTACTGTTGTCGAACCGACAACTGCGTCACGCCGAAAGGCATGGTTCTCTCAACAGTAGTTGGAAGTAAAGTCAATTGTATTGCTTAGTGAAAATTTTTTTGGATCCCCCCATTACAAGACCCTAGGGGGCTATTTATAGCTCTATTACAGGTTCCCCCTTTAGGGTTTAGGTTTTACAGGGGAATTTACATAGTTACCCTTACGATAGGGATGTTATTAAGGGCACACTGTGTCATTTACATGTATGGGCCTTAATTGGGCTAAATGGCTCGGCCTATCTACTTAGTGAAACCTTCCTGGGCACAGTAGCCCGCTGGGCCACTTTTCGGTGAGGTTCGGCACCTGGCGAAGCCCAGGCCCTCCTGCCAGGGCTTTTGCCTTATCGCCCTCACCCGCATCGCCTTCTGATGAAGTCCTTGTCTGGCGAAGTCCGAGTGTCCGAGCCAATGGCCTTCGCCATGGGACTTTCGCCCGTACGGTTCCCTTCTTGATCTTCGCCGCTTGCCTCCGGTCTAAGCTTGTCGCTTAAGCCCTCAGTTTCGGCAGGTCCGGCTGAAGGCACTTCGTGGTATGCCTCCAACAATCACTACTAGTCAATTGTGGTCGACAAATGGCTCCGATTTCGCATATGCCGGTTCCCAGCACAGAACAATAACACAGAAAATAGAGCGGTCCATTAGCACGTGATTAATTAATAAGTATTTACTATTTTTTTCAAATATGGATTAATATGATTTTTTAAGCAACTTTTATATAGAAACTTTTCGCAAAAATTACACTGTTTAATAGTTTGAAAAGCGTGCGCGCAAAAAAAAACAAGAGAGATGGGTTGGGAAAAAGGGGTGCCGCAGTCATCCGAAGGAATCTCCTTGCTTGTCAACTCGCAGATAAACACTGAAACTTTGGAAAAAATAATTGAAAAACTTTACTGGCCGACTCTATTGAACTATCTGACCAATCTCAATTTGTCCATTGCAGATCTAACTGCAATGTACAACTCAAGCTTCACCATCCATATTTATATGAATCGTGCTATACATACGACCCATCGTCCGACTCCTGTCCGACCTGCGTCATCAGCCAATCAGTGCATTCCATATAAGTCTGCTTCTTTCCATGTGGGCCAGGGCGAGCAGCAGCTGAGTGTTGGTCGGACACAAGTCGTACATACAAATCGTATGTATAGCAATTTCCTATTTATATTTATCAGCACACTGATATAATGCTTCAGTATACTTGCTGTATTAATTAGCTAGTTATTTGGTAATTTAGAACGAAAAAACAGAACTACTATCAATTCTTCTGGCTGATATGTCGTCTCCATAATTATGTATTCCATGTGACACTGCATTTCAGATCCCTTTCCAAGAAATAAGCTCCAAGAAACACCTATTTCAATTAGCATTACTCACTCATCTTCCTTAAATTACTAGAGATATTGTTATGAAAATAGAAGCATAACGGAGACACGAATTTTTCATGAAAAACTCTTACGGAAAAAAAACCATGGGCACCGACCGACAATGATCTCTATTCAGAAGTTGATTACAATCATATAGCAATAACAATGAGAACGTCAGCCCTTCCCATACGGCTTATAAAAATATATATAGGAGATAAAATGAAAGACTCTTAATAAAAAAAGACATAGAGTCCTAACAGAAAAAAAATCCAAATATATATTGTAGATCTAAATTCGGTGTACACCTGCGGTATGCAGAAATTGTTATTGCTCTGCCACCTTCTCCTCTGTGTACTTGTGTAGTTTTCTATATTTTTCAAGTGTAACTTATCTGTTTTCTATTGTTTGGCTAAAGAGAAAGAAGAAACAACTACCTGTTCTGTTCTATTCATAGTCCTTCCCCTTCTTTCCACCAAAAGAAAACAACCTACCTCTGATTTCGAGTCGTAGCAGGATTGAGTGGTATCAGGAACACAATATTTAGGGGATTCAGTGTGATTCGTCAGTGCATTCCAGTATGCTCGTTGTGTATGGCATGTTCATGTGATCCTACCAAACATAATTGTGCGCGGACCTGATTGACGCCTGGTTGTACCACCTCCCATTTTTCTGCTGCAGGGAACAAGGGCACAGGGAGCAGTCACTGTGCTGGATGTGTTACCACCAATGCAAAGCAGCCGTGCCTGCGTTCCAGACAATTTTCCGTGCAGTTTTCCATTGAGCAGCAATGAGCTCATTCAATTCTCTTGTTCTGAACTTCTGCCTGAAGGAGTTTACTTGTCCACTATATTGTTCTCTGCCGACAGCCGACAGGGTGAAACAGTACTAACTTCTCCGAGCTTGTGATGATGATTCAGAATTTTAGTAATGAGCACTTTCTCCAGTTAGCTAGTTCATTCGGTTCGGATGAAAAAAAAAAGTCTGTACACAACTGGAGTTTAGTACGAAACTTCAAATTTGTATAAAACCATACAAGAGTTCACAAACAAAACTGACGAAATATTTATAAAGTTGCATCTTACTTACTGCTGGACTGTTTTGAAGCATCTGACAAGGACAAGGAATGTACTTCTCCTTAATTAGTACTTCCTCCGTATTAAAGTATTTTAATGTATGACGCCGTTGATTTTTTGACCAACGTTTGATCATTCGTTTTATTTAAATTTTTTGTGCAAAAATAAAAATATTTATGCCATGCTTAAAGAATATTTGATGATAAATCAAGTCATAATGAAATAAATGATAATTACATAAATTTTTTGAATAAGACGAATAGCCAAACGTTGGATAAAACGCCGGTCAGCACACATTATTTTCTGGCTTCGACTTTTATCCGACGTCAACTAGTTGCATCCAATGTTACCATAGAATCGGGGCTTCGCGTTTGGTCTTTTCCTTGCACACCTCATAGATTGATCAATTCATTGCTATAGTCACCATGTAAATGCATCTCATTGGTGAGAACTATGGTTAGCTAAAATTGCACGGCTAGAAGTCCAGTAACCTAGAGGGATAAAAACAATCTCCACAGTTATAGTAGTCCAGTAACCTGCTATGCTACCAACCAACTGAAACATGAATCTCTGGTGCTCGTGCG